ATTGTTCGCGCAATGAGGCAGTAAGACTGTTCGAAGGCTCAGAGTTAACGACGTTTGATATATAGACATGATTTTCTGGGGGAGTGACAATATCCTATAGGCAGAATTGACAATTAAACTTGATTTTTATAATATTTTATCCCTATAGGCATATCATCTAGGTGGGACAGTATAATGAAAATAACAAAAATAGTTGATTAATAGAATAAAATCATATAGTCATGATATCTAGATGAGCATTAGCGAAGACATCTATTATCTTATCCTATAGGCATGGTGTCTAATAATTAAGCAAGGCATTTTATTCCTATGGACATGTTGTCTAAGAGCGCACAGTAATAGACATGAAATCAAGTATAGCGATTACTAACATACTTTGGATAGTGTACGAGTATTAGACAAGTTAGGTGAAGTGTGTGATTTCCTATAAGCATGAGTTCTATTAGTGTACAGAAATAAAGCAAGTTAAACAAAATAGCAAATAAAGCACGTAGACCCTATATGCATGTTTTCTACCCTTTATGCAAGAATAGAGTACACTCGTTTCTCGAATTTCACTAACTCCCCAATTGTTTGTTTACAAATCATTATAGGCCCAGAATGAAATAATACATACTTAAAGATGACAAATACAGGCTGAAACAAATACAGGCCCACTAAGGCAATTACAGACCCAATACAAAGTAACCCAAGGGCATCCCCATGCCTTCAATAGTCTTATTCCCCGAACAAATAGCAGGCCTAAACCACAGGCTCACCAGGACAATACAATATTCCTGAATCCAATGGCCAGGTCGAACAACACATATGGACCAACACCAGGCCCAACGAATAACTTACTTACCCAAATGGATGCCAAACTTAGCCATACAGACACATAGAATTAATTAAACAACTTTGAAGCTTAAAAACTTAGTTCTTAAAGTTGTGACTAACAGTAGCTCTAGCCAAGACATATAGACAGGATCATAACAAATTGGAAGGCACACAAAGCACATATGAGGCAAGTTTATGGTTGTAATTCCAGAAATAAAGTTTAAGAGTGATAAGATTGACCATTATAGGATAGTAAACCATTCCAAAGAGTTTCAAAATGAAGCATTATTCAGGATCAACCTAAAGAACTTTAGATGAGGGTCGACCAGAGTCATAGAAAAGAAGCAAGTAGAGCACAACTTTCACATGAAAGTGTCTATCATGAAAAAAAATACTAACGAAAATAGCGTAACCAAACAGGTTGATGGACATGGTCTACAAACAATCCTTAATTGAGCATGAAAAGTCTTGAATGTGCTAAATACCAGTCATAACAAAAAGACTTAAACAATACCAGAACTCATAGTGGGCAAGGATACACCAAGATCTAGATTACACATAGAAGAAAAGCTAGATATTGCATTTTTACCTTGTAGACTTTAGGCAGTACTAATCAGGCATGGAGCACACTTTAAAGTTTACAAGTAGCAAGGAAGCATATTAGGCTAAACATTGAGACAATATTGTCACATGGGATGATCATGGGTCAATTTGTAGAAAAATAGTAGGTTATGCATAAAAGATTCAGCAGAAAAAGACTCATTAAGGCAATTTCTAGGCAGGAACTAGTTCCCTAGGAGTTCCAGTACAAAAGTTCAAGGTAAGGCATGAGAAAGGACTCATAACAAACAACCAATATAGGAATTCGAGCATACATAAACATAATAGTCTCAAACAAGCATAACCATCAGAAATCTTCCAAATTGAATATACTAAATGAACATATATAGACTTATATAGATTCTGATGAAGAATTACAGAAGAATTTCAAAGCAAGGTCGACATAGAGTCATATTGGTTTCCAAGAGTTCAAGTAAAATAGATATTCAAAATCATGAACATAAGAAGGGAGAAAACATAATTGTGAGGGACTAAACACTTACCAATTTGCAGATTTAATAACAAATAGATTAATATTTCTACATGTACAATAATTTTTTTAACACAAATACAATGAGTTCGGTCGGACCAGCATTCAGGCTTCTAGTTTTGCCACTTCTTATAATGCATTAATAGTGTAAGGGTACATAGATTACGCTTTTTCTTAGTATCACTTCTCAATGGTAAAGTAGATACAGGTAAAAAAATCAAAAAATAGTTAATTTTTTATTTAATATACAAAGAGTTTATGAATTGAACGCTTTCCTATATTATTATGTTGAAAGGATATATTTAAAAAATATATGAGGCAAGTTTACGGTTGTAATTCCAGAAACAAAGTTTAAGAGTGACAGGATTGACCATCATAGGATAGTAAACCATTCCAAAGAGTTTCGAAATGAAGCATGATTCAGGATCAATCTAAAGAGCTTTAGATGAGGGTCGAGCAGAATCATAGAAAATAAGCAAGTAGAGCACAACTTTCACATGAAAGTGTCTATCATGAAAAAAAACTAATTAAAATAGCATAACCAAATATGTAGATGGACATGGTCTACAAACAATCCTTAATTGAGCATGAAAAGTCTTGAATGTGCTAAATACCAGTCATAGCACAAAGACTTAAACAATACCAGAATTCATTTTGGAGGTAAGTGATTTCTACATAATGTGAGCGTAATACATAAATTATGGGAAGATTTTAACATGTAAATTGTGGAAATATTAGGATTTGGTTGAAATTGGAACACTGAGTTCCATAATAGTGGTCTATCATGTCCAAGTTTGACCGAAGCCAACGTTTTGAGTAAACGGCCTCGAAACTAGAATTTGATGGTTCCAATAGATTCGCATGATGATTTTGTAGTGTTCGAACCGGATTTCGGGTGCTCCCGGAGCGTTTTAGCGCTTAATATTGAAAGTTGGTTCATTGAAGGTCTTCTAGTTCTTTAAATTTGGTTTGGAGTAGACTGTTGTGTTATCGAGGTCCATTTGGGAGTCCAAGCTTGGGAATAGGTCTGTATGGTGAGTTATGACTTGTACGCAAAATTTGGTGCCATTCCGAGTAGTCTAAGTATGATTCGGCGCATTCAGAGCTAGTTAAGAAGTTGAAGTTCATAAGTTGATTCAATTTGGTTTTGGGGTGTGATTCGTAGTTTCAATGTTATTTTATGTGTTCGGAGGGTTCGAGTAGATTCATATTATGGTTGTAGACTTGTTGGTGCATTTGGATGGGGTCCCGAGGGGCTCGGGTGCGTTTCGGACCTCTCGGAGCTAAGTCCAAAAATCTGCTGGTATGATGTTCTGGTTTCCTTCTTCAAGAACGCGTAGGGACCCTTGCAATTGCGAAGAAGGAATTGAGGACTGGGTGATGTTGTTCTTCGCGTTGGCGAAGTCTGGGATGCGTTCGCGAAGCTTGGGACCAGTGGCCTTCGCGTTCGCGGTTGAGTTGTCGCGTTCGCGTAGAATACCTAGGCCTGGGCCAAGGCAACCCAGTTGCCTTTCACGTTCTCGAGTGAGGGCACGCATTCGCGTAGAATACCTAGGCCTGGGCCAAGGTAACCCAGTTGCCTTTCGCGTTCCCAAGTGGGGGCACGCGTTAGCGATGAGAGGGCGACTCAGTGCATCGTGTTCGCGAGTGTACTCTCACGATCGCGGAGAGGAGTTTTTCTGGGTTCATGCCTTTTGCCTTCGCGATCGCGAGGGCTTGTCCGCAATCGCAAAGAAGGCCGACCTAGGTAGTGACTTCATAAAAATAGGGATTTATGGCCTTTTTGTTCATTTCTCTCATTTGTTAGCCGAATTTGGAGCTTTGTAGAGGGGAATTTTCACCTAGCTATAGAGGTAAGTGATTTCTACATAATGTGAGCGTAATACATAAATTATGGGTAGATTTTAACATGTAAATTATGGAAATATTAGGATTTGGTCGATAAACCTAGATTTTGATAAAAATGAGATTAGAACACGAAAATAATTATGGGATTAAGCGAAAATTATATATTTGTTTCTTAAGGTTATGGATAACATTTATTTATAAAAAATTTCGGAATTCGGGCACGTGGACCCAGGGGTGAATTTTAGGAAGCTTCCAAATTGGGTTAGGTAATCACTTTAATAGTTAAATAATGAACTTTTGAGTAATTATTGATTTGTTTGTACAACATTTGGCTAGTTTCGGATTGTTCGGCATCGACTTGAGGCTTTTAGAGTGATTTGTGGACCGGAAAGTGGACTTGAGAACGAGGTAAGTCTCTTGCCTAACCTCGTAAGAGGGAATTAACCTCATAGGTGTTTAATTGTTATTTGCCACTAATTGTGGGAGCTACGTATGCACGAAGTGATAAGAGTTCGTGCGTAGCTAAAATTCATGTTATGTTCGGGCAGACATAGGTCTTTATTATGCTACTACTTGCACTATTTGGACTCAACTTGCTAGTTTAATTGCTAGTAATAATAAGTAAAACTTGGTTAAAAATTATGTTAAATCGAGCTTCATTTCTTAGAGAGTTGTCGGAATGTTTAATTATTGATGAAAATTATATTTCTTTTATGGGCTTACCTTGGAGTTGTAAATATGAAATTCGAAATCTGAAGAGTTCCTCTATTCATGTGGATCGGGCCGAACGCCTCGGCAACATATAATACATATATATATATATATATATATATATATATATATAATATATATATATATATATATATATGAAGAGTTTCTCTATTCTACTAGATGCTCATACACTTGTGACACCGTGTTCTGAGAATATTCTAGTGGATATTATATGGTTTTGAGTATTAAATTTACTAATTTACTCTTTTGTTATTTTATGCTTTACATTACTATCATTATCCATTCATCGTTCTCTTATTAAATAAAAAGTAATTACTCTAAAACTATTAAAATAAAAAATCAAGTGGGTAGTTCACTATTAGCATGCCTAACGATTATCTTGGGAGCCATCACAACCTTTGAAATTGGGCCGCGACAATTCCAATTGGAAAAACCAAAAGGTAAGTGAAGTAATTACAATTGATTGCAAATTTGCAATAGCCAATAGTTCATGCTCAGTATGTGCAAACAACACGTAACCTTATGTCATTTCACGCGAACACACCCTATTGTCCTTTTTCGTCCATCAAAAATACACACACTCCCCTTTCACACTCTCACTCTCCCTTTCTTACTTACTTCCTCCATTTGTCCTAGCTTACTCTACATTCTCTTCCTAAAATCCTAATGGAGCATCCCTTCTTCATCAATGGCCCCCCCTCTAACCGACCTGAAGCATTGCGTTGGCTATCCATCGCTGAGAAGCTCTTAACGAATCGTGACCTTGTTGGCAGCAAATCATTCGCGACCCGTGCCCGTGAATCCGACCCGACATTAGCACCTGCTACCGACCAAATACTCGGCATCGTCGATACTTTAAGCGCCGGCGACAAAAGGATAAACAACCACCACTTCGACTACTACTCTATTCTCCAAATCCCTCCTAACCAAACCCAAAATGCCGACTTCATCGCTGATCAGTATCGCCGATTTGCTCTTCTTCTCAACCCTCAGAACAACAATTTCCCCTTTTCGGATCAAGCTTTTCGCCTTGTTGTTGATGCATTCTCAGTTCTTTCTAATCCCTTGAGAAAAAGTATGTATGATAAGGAGCTGGGTTTCTTCCTTAACCTTTACCCAGTTGCTTCTACACCTACCCCTGTGAATTTTGTGCATCATGGTGCGTATCCTTCAATACCCAGTTCAAATGCAGACCAAATGTTTGTGAATTTGCCCAGTCAAGATCAAGGGTCACATGCTGCTGAAGTGAGCTTTAGTAGAGACCCACAAGCTGGAATTTCTATGCCAGTCAAATTTCTGACTCGTGAACAAGAAACTGTGACCTCTATGGCAGGCTCGGTTACAGAGCAACAACATCAGCAACCACAACAACCTGTAACATTTCCGAGACAACATGCACAACCACCAGTGACGTCTATTTCATTTTCAAACACAGATGAACAACCTGCGACATTCTTGAGTTTGAACCAACCACAGCCGGTAACCTCTGTGAGAAGCTTAAATACAGAAAACCCACCATTTGGTATCGGGTTGAGTTCGACACGAGGGCCAGAACCGATGGTTTCTGTAGAGCAGCATGGGAATCAACACCTCCCAGAAAGGAATGAGAATGTGGTGGGGAACAATGAAAACAGGTCTGCTAGTACTAGTGATCATGTGAGTAATGCCAACGAGAAAGAAGGAAATGTAGATGCTTCAGATAATAGGATACCCAGTTTCTGGACTGCTTGTCCTTATTGTTATATTATGTATGAGTTCCCTTTGGAGTATGCTGATTGTACTTTGCGGTGTCAAAATTGTAAGAGGGCTTTCCAAGCTGTAACAATTGCGTCCCCTCCACCAATTATTGATGGAAAAGACGCTTGTTTTTGTTGTTGGGGATTTATGCCTTTAGGATTGTCTTTGGAGAATTTTGAGAGAAATAGAGATAATGGTTCGAGCTGGTCTCCATTTTCGCCGATGTTTACTTGTCCGCGTGCTGGGGGGGATGGAGGGAGTAATATACATAATCGTGTTGTTGGAGGACATAGTCATGTGGATAATCTTGGCGCTTTGCATAATGCAGGTGCATCGATCAGTGGGGATGGACGAGAGCATTTTGCTCCAAGAATATACGTTGATGATGATGATGATGTGTTTGTTGAGGTGTCGGAGGCAGGTGAGGAGTCTGATGAGGATTGGAATCGGAATAAGGAGAGGAACAAAGCGAAGAGTGGGAAGCGGAAGAATGCAAGGACGGGAACCCCAAGTAAAAATGCCATGAAGCAGCAAGCTGTTAAGGCAAAGAACGTTGAAGGGAATAATGATTTCAATTTGCAAGATGGTTTAGCTACTCAAGATGGTGTAGAGATGTCACATGTTGTGGCAGTTGAGTCAAATAAGAAAGGTATTGCAAGTAAGACAAGAAGGCCAACTGATGGGGTCGCAAAACACTTTGGGAGTTTGGATTTGAATGTGGAGTTCAGTAATGATGTTGAAGAGCCTATAGTTCAGATGAGCCACGAAAATGAAGCAGGGGAGGGAGAGGATGACACTGTTGAAGTGATTGGGTTTTTTGAAGGTCTTGATGAATTTCTTAGCAGTCTTCCTATACTCGATGTTGTGGATGGTGATAAGGTTGAGGCTGCCTAGTGAAGTAAGATACTTCTTTTATCGTAGTTGTAGCTTTAATTTTTGTCTTTTGTATGCTGTAGTTAAGAATGGTGTAGAAGCATTGGCCTTAAAATTTCTACTGTAATGCTAATGTATAACTATTCTCTTCCGAAATAGCTGCAGGAATCAGTTTATTGCCTCTATCTGCATACTTAGTGATCTTAGTTCTTTTTCAAAATATATTTCTTAATTCGTCCTTCCCCAAAAATTTATCTAAATGGGTCTGTAAATGGCCTCACTCACCCACTTTCCGAGCATCGGAAAACAAAGTTGAATTGCAACTTGAACTCCTGTCTATGTCTATTTTTGCAGGCAATTGATAGTGCTTAAGTGCTATTTTTCCTTTTGCTTACTGGAGCTAGAAGTTGAGGATCTTATTGGTTAAAAATATTTATTGCAGTGTGATAAATACTTTTAACCAATAAGATCCTTAACCTGCGGCTTCAGCTAAGCAAAAAAAAAAGTAGTCATTGCACGTTGACGACCAAATATTTTGTTACTTTAGTTCTGTCCCTTGTTACAACATGCCAGATCAATATTTTCAATATCTTTAAGACTAACCATTTCGGTCGCCGTTGCTCTGAAATGCTAAGCTCCAACTTAAGCAAAATACTCTCATCTGACTGTACTCTTTGCAAATATTCATCTGTTTTGTTTTATATGTGATTGGTTGCTTTGATTTTGAAGTCCATTAAAAACTGATTCAGCTAGTTGATTTACGAGTATTTTACAATGATGTATCCATGTTTGAGATTGACTGCTGGTTTTGATGTTTCTTCTTCATATTCTTAAATGATAACTTTCTTTAGCTGATACATATATGCTGCTCATTTTCATTCGTTTTCTCATGCAAAATTTAGAGATACTAAATATGTTTAAGATGAGGTTGAGTAAAATTACGCAGTGAAAAGTATTAACGAGTTGAAGAAACTTGTTCTTTAGTTTCCTTTGCAATCTATGCAGTTCTGCTCCTACTTGCTAGAGGCTTTGAATTTGAAAGAAGTTTACATATCTCACTCTTTGGTTCATCTTTCTAATGTTGGCTAATAGGCTAAGAATTTGAAGGTTTACATATCCCACTCTTTGGTTCATCCTCCTGGTATAATATGGCTCCATTGTGCGCAAGCTAACTCGAACAACATCAAAATTAAAAAAATTATTTTGTGGCAGCACATTTTTTTTTCCTGACTTTAAGCACCGAAGGCGTTGGTCTAGTGGTAAAAACGTAGCTTGTCATATGTGGTTTGATGCACATTATAGGTTTGAACCCTATCATAGACAAGCCTGGTATTTTAGAAGAAAGGGTAGAGGGACGAGTTCATTATCCATCAAATGTCAAACCATGCGTCGTTCGCCCTCGGGGATTTCTCAGTTATCAGGAAAAGAAATAGATGACCTTAACTAGCAGGAAGGTCATGAAAGAAAGATCGACTACGTTACTCCATCCCAAGAAAGTTGTTTTACTCTCTTTTTCGTTTCTACTCTAAGATATTGTCACTTTCCTTGATGAGAAAATCATATAGGATTCATTCTTGTTCCAAACAGAACATTAAACCCATTCAAAGAATTATTTTTAATTCTAGGTTCTTTTTATACAATATACTCGTAACTAACAATATTATGTCAAAATAAGACTGGTTTTATAGTAGGATAGAATTTGAAAGTGTGTTCAGAATAATTATTACCGAGAGGGCAGCCACAATGATGGAATAGAACTTCAAGAAGTAGCTAAACTCAAAGATATCTCATGGAGATAAAAGGTCTTATGTCACGATCCAAAATTCCATCAATATCGTGATGATACCAAACTCAACCTGTTAGGTAAGCTAAACTGTATAAGCTACTACGACGAGGAGAAATCATCAATATTATAAGTAACAATGCAAAAGAATTTAATACAACTACGCCGAGGACTAGTAGTACAAGTCATGAGCCACTATGATTTGGATTTACAAAGCTAATAAAACGAATAAATACAATATTTATTCGAAAGTTACATAAACAGAAATGAAATCTTAAGCTACGATGAACAAAAGGATAGCATGAATCCAATCTGCACGTAAGGTGCAGAAGTGAAGTATGAGTTCAACCGATCACATGTACTCAGTAAATATCTTAACTAACCTCAGAGAAGTAGTGACGAGGTTTTTGAGTCGAAAGATACTCACTAGTTAAATAACCTGTGCACTATATCAAAGACTGGCAATATGAAGTATACCGGTAACAATAACTATTATCTCATCAAAATAAGTGATAACAATACAGTACAAGTAAAGGCTCAGATTTAACAACAAGTCACCATATAGAATCACACACGTACGGCACCTCGTGCCCACATTATTAATCACCATGCACAGCGAAGACCTCGTACCACAACATAAGTCACACGCGCACGACAAAAACCTCGTACTATAATATAAATTACACTTGCACGATAAAGATCTCATGCCACAGTAATCTAATTCCGTATCAATTGCTAAATAACGCATTCAAAAGAACTTATCAAAATCAAATATATTAATGCATGATGACAACTTTCTCATCTCGTCAATCCGATATACTACCAACAACTCAAAAAATACGAGATAACAACTCCACCTAGAAAAAATCCATCTCGGCAACCAGATCATCAAGTAGTAACACAGGCATATATTAGCATGTTAGAAACAACACAACAAGTTATGTAAACTTGCAGGACACACATAAAGAAGTCATATGGCCAACTTGAATGCCCCTCTTTTACCACTACACATACATAATAAATAAAAATTGCCCCCGCTATCACATAACATCCTCACAATGCCTCCCTTATTTCGTCGCATGCGCATAAGCCAACCTTATCTCACCGCATGCGCATCACAGTTGAAATGCCTCCCTTGTTGCCGCACGTGCATCTAGTCACCCTTATCTTTCCGCATGCGCATCGCAAATGAAATTCCTCCCTTATGTTGCCACATGCGCATCTACAATCAATCCGCAAAACATGTCCACATGTACCACAATTATCACAACAGTGCAAGATAACAATTTATCACCGAGAGACACATCCTCATAACTCATCAATAAAGCGCACAGGTACATGATAACAACAAAAAGTGGATAAAGTAAGACAATGGTTAAATCAAGCAGGGCCGACTTTTGGGTAAAGCCACTGAAGCCCAAGCTTTAGGCCCCCCAACTTTAGGGGCGCCCACTTTATACCCCATATTTTTTTTAATTATGTATTTTCACTTCTATTACATATCTTGGTAAAAACTGAAAAGGAAAGATATCTCTGTCACCTTAAAAATGGGTCCCTAATGTGTAAATACAAAATTTAAGGAAGCAATCAAGTGATTATTCCTTTTTTTTTTAGTCTTTTTCTCATTAAATATTATGTAACCTTTCCACTTTCTTTCTTGGTTTCCACAATATTCAATTTCCTTTATTAATGTTGCAAACATTACTAATATATATTCTTTTTGTGCCTCCAAGAGATCCTATTGATATACTCAATCAGATAAAAAAGACTTGATTATTTTTCAAATGCTTATATTGCTTATAGAATAATGATAACAGTTCTTGTAGCTGTTGCCTCTGGCCGCCCTCAATCACAAACTAGAAATTCGAAAGAAGTTTTTTAAAATTAAAATTAATAAAATCTTACTTAAGATCAACCATGGCGCAAGAGAGATTGAATAGATTGGCTATATTATAAATTGAAAAAGAAGTATTAGAAGAAATTAATTATAAAATAATTATTCATAATTTTGCATCTCAAAAAGCTAGAAAATAGATTTCAAATAATATATATATATATATATATATATAAAAGGTTGGCTTTAGGCCCCCAATAGTATTGAGCCACCCCTGAAATCAAGTATAGCAACCAAGTCCAAGTAGTGATTCAAAGGATCACATATGTATCACAGAGTGTACACATCTCAATCAAGACACTTTACAAAAACAAGTCTCGATGGGTGTTCATAACCTACGTGCATCTACCTTCGAGGCAAATATAGCATAAGTTTCAAGATTTGCTCATCATTTTCCAAATAAGGTACCAGTAGCCTCGACATTTCCCTAGCATGGTTTTATAGTACTCACAAAGTCGATTAATTTAATAATACCCGGAATCAAGTAAAATACACTACCAAATAAGGAAAATAGTAAGCTAGAATCTACCCCGAGCATGAATACCCATGGCACATGTATATACGCTCGTCACCTCATATATATATATATATGTATATATATATATATATATATATATATATATATATATATATATATATATATATCACCCTGGCATGTAGCAAACAATATCAATTAGTAGGAAAAATTCCCTCAACCAAAGCTAGGCAAGATAGTTACCTCAAACAAGTCAAATTAATACTCATAAATAGCTTTTTCCTTATAGGTCATCTCGGCTCGACTCAAATCTAGCCAAAAATGACTCGATAACATCAAAGAATGCAAAAAGAATCAATTTCAATTAATAAAGTTATAACCGAAATTCCAAAAGTCAATAAAAGTCAACCCAGGGTTCGTCCGTCGAAACTCGAGTCGAGGGGTAGATATCGACTACCCATAACCCCACGAGTCCAAATATATGATTAGTTTGTAAAACTAAGTCCAATTTGACTCTCAAATCTTAAATTTTTATTTTTAAAAATATAGTCAAAAATTCCCAAGTACTCTCTTCAAATTTCATGATTTTGATGTTAAAATCTATAAGAAATCAAGTTATAATATCAAAATCGAGTCAAAATCACTTGCCCAATAGTTCTGTGTGAAAATTCCCTCCAAAAATCGTCTCTCGCCGAGTCTAGGGCAAAAATTATAATAAAATGGACTAAGTACCGAAATACAAAATATATTACCAACTACAGATGTTACATTTGCGACCAGGGGTTCCCAAATGTGACCATCTGATCGCAAATGTGACCACCGCAAAAGGGAACAAAGGCTCGCAAAAGTGAACCTTGATAGACCCGGCAGATATCGCAATTGTGACAAAATATTTTGCAAATACGGAGCCCCCTCCCCACGCGACCAGTCGCCAAAGCGACGCACAATCTTGCAAATGCGACACAATCCTCGCAAATTCAAGGTCCCTACCCAACATCCATGAGTTGAAAATGCGATGGTTGCATTTCCGA